TCTATTATTCTTTGAAAAGGGGCATTTTCCGACATACATAGTTTTATTTTAAAAAAGCAAAATATAGTAAAAAGGGGATACAAAAGAAAAAAAAAGAGATATTATAGATAGATTATTATACATTGCAAAATATATAAAACAGAAAAAAAAATGTCTCCCCAACATCCCCTTCATTATACTTTTAAAGACATTTTCTATAAGATACAATGGTCCTTACTTTGAATGCTATGAATTTCAAATTTCATAACTAGCATCATTTTCAACTATAGTATTAATTTCTGTGCTATTGCATGTTCTGTGTTGAATATTTCAGTGTTTATAAATACTAGCTATAACTTTTAATACCAAATCTTCAAGGAAGGTTTATTATATATCTCTCCCATTTATTAGAAAAATAACAGGGTTTTTTTGGTTCAAAATTCACTTCCTCATGCATTTATATTCAAAACTTATTCTCATTCTATTTCTATATTTACATGTTCAGTCAGATTTCTGAACCACTTAGAGCATTGTCTGCGCTAATGGCCAGAGATTATTCAGCCCCTCAGCCAAGGAACTTTCCATCCCACCTAAGTGGAAACGCTGCCCTTAGTTAAAGCCTCATTATTTCCGAGGAGGCCTCTATCTGCTGCAGAGCAGATGTCACGTCAATCCAGTGGCAATCCAGATTAGATTGATCTGTATTTTGCCATCAGGATGAGGTGGTCTCTGACAATGTGTATGTGCTGGATGGTACCTTCTGCAGCCTTCCAAAATAAAGAAATGAATACTGACTTAAGCTTCCCATTTTCTCTCAATTCAAATTGTATTAAGGAGATAAGAACATAAGAGAAGCCAATGTTGGATCAGGCCAATGGCCCATCCAGTCCAACACTCTGTCACACAGTGGCCAAAAATACCAGGTGCCATCAGGAGGTCCAGCAGTGGGGCCAGGACACTAGGAGCCCTCCCACTGTTGCCCCCCCAAGCACCAAGAAGACAGTACATCACTTGCCCCAGCCTGAGAGTTCCTATCTATACCCTATATATGCTCAGTAATGGTGGGCAGGAGAAGATGGCCCAGAAGGTCGGACCAGAACCAACGGGTTGAAATGAAATCAAAAGAGTTTTCGGCTAAACATCAGGAAGAACTTCCTGAGAGTTAGGGTGGTTCCTCAGTGGAACAGGCTTCCTCGGGAGGTGGTGGTGGGCTCTCCTTCTTTGGAGGTTTTGAAACAGAGGCTAGATGGCCATCTGACAGCAATACTGATCCTGTGAACTTAGGCAGAACATGAGAGGGAGGGCAGGAAGGGTTGCCTCAGTGCTTAGTTCTCGTGGCCCTTTTTTACACACCTGAGGAAATGCTTATCACCACTTTGGGGTTGAGAGGCAATTTTTCTCCAGGTCAGATTTAGAGTCAAGGGGCACCTTTAAGACCAACAGAGGTTAATTTAAGGTATGAACTTTCATGTGCATGCACAGTTTTTTCAAATACATTGGAATGGAAGGTATAGACAGAGGCTGAACAGCAAATTAACATGTAACACGATGCAGATGTTATATGCAAAGTTAAAACTAAATAACAAGCTAAAGTTATAAGGTCAACAAGTTGTTTTGATTTAATTAAGGGGGGAAAGGGCAGTAAAGTAATGAATACGTCAAAATATTTGAAAAAGTCTGCATGTGCATGAAAGCTCATACCTTAAAGGTGCCACTTGATTCTAAATTTGTTCTACTGGTTCAGACCAACACAGCTGACCACCTACAACTTTCTCTGGGTCAGTTTGACCAGGAAGCCTGGAGAGGTTTTGTCCTCTTCTGGGCATGCAACAGGGGTCACTGGGGGTTTGGGGGGAAGGTATTTGTGAATCCCCTGCATTGTACAGAGGGTTGGACTAGATGACCCTGGAGGTACCTCCCAATTCTATGACTCTATGATTTGATGGTGTGGATTTAAGGGCAGCAGCAGATAACTTGTTTTCACCTGACACTCCAGCCTCAAGATGATGTCTCTTTCTCTCATGTCCTCCAGGGTTACCCAAAACACAGAAAAGATGAGCCAACAACAACAGAGAGGAGGGAGCTGCTGCTGCTGTTGCTGTGGTGGAAGTGGTGGTCGTGGTGGATGCTGCGGATGCTGTGGTGGAGGATCTTCTTCGTCTCAGCAAAGCCAGCAAAGTGGAGGATGCTGTGGGGGTAGAAGCAGAGGAAGCGGTGGCTGCTGTGGGTGTTGTGGTGGCTGTTGTGGTGGCAGAAGCAGCGGTGGCTGTTGTAGTGGAGGATCTTCTCAACAGAAGCAGGTGAAAGTCCTTCCCCAGAAGCTGAAGTAGATGCCTTCAAGAAGAATCAAGGCTCTGGAACACCATCTCAGCCTGCCATGGCAGATCTCTTCTTTCTTTCCTGACCAGCTTCAGCTATTGTTTCCAAATCATAACCTTGATATGCTGAACTGGGAAATGCAGTGTTTCCATTCTCCCCTCTCAAAATCCTTGAGAAGGCATTAAACGTTTCTCACATGCAAGCCATTGTGTTCTGTCATGTTTCCTTCCAGTATCCTCCGAGCCAGGTGCCTTGTGATCTACCACGTCCAACGAAACCCAGCTACTGAGTATGACTGCTCGACAAGAGCTTGAGGAACCAGACGGAGTGCACTTTTTTGTTGCCTATCTGGAACTGTAGAATCTGAGCAACTGATAAGCACCATGTATAGCTTCATACAATGATCGTGGGCTTAGGCAACTATTAGTTGTGCAGGAGTGATCAAAATGGCTTCTCCTTCTATGACACAACGTTAGTGACAACCAGTGGGAGATTGGGAGGGAGGGGAGAGATGTGGGACATGGGGTTGGCACCGGCAGCAAAAGTGTCATCACCTCTGGGGAAAACCCAGAAGTCATGTCACACTTCTCTAGGAATCACCAAAAACTCTATGGTAAAAACATAGCGTTTGTAACAAATCCTGGAGAGGACAAATGTCGCTTCTTAGATTTTTCTTGAAAGTAACTTCACACCATTGTCCCAGCAGCCATTTTTTTCTTTATTTTTCATCTGCTGCCAGTATAGGTGGTGGCAGAAACCAGGAGCTGAAACTTGATTTACCAGAACCCCCCCACCCCTGTCTCAGAACATCGGAATAATCCAAATGTGGTTCCTTAACACATGGGTGTATTCCCCTTCAGAAGGCCAGACTTTCTGTAGACTGAGTCATTTCATAATGCAGTTACAAGTTTGGAGGGGGGGAAATCTTGGTTTAGATAGTTAAGAGTAAATAGTTTCTATCTAGCCTTTTCTCTGATGAGCTGGTTTTCTTTGTAAGGGGTGTGTGAGTTGCATATAAAAACTGCTGTCAACTTGCCCAGAACTGGGATTTTTTTAAAAAAAAATGCACAGGCTGCATAAGGCTCCGTGAAACATAAGTATGTGACAGGATTGTTTGACACAAAGAGAGGGAGCGAGAAAAATGACCTCATTAATGTCAAGACAAAGACTGTGGATTGCACAGAATTGGGCCAATAATAGATTTCTGTATTGGTCCAGTCACTTCAAAACCTATAAGCAGGGCACCTCAGCCCCTCCAAAGTTTTTGTGGGAGACAGTCAGTGTGGTGTCATGGATAAGAGTAGCAGACTCTACTCTGGAGAAATGGTTCCCCATTCCTCCACATGAAGCCTGCTGGGTGGCCTTGGGCCAGTCACAGTTATCTCAGAACTCTCTCAGCCCCACCTAGCTCTCAAAGTTCCTGCCGTGGGGAGAGGGAGTGGATGTGATTGTAAGCCGCTTACAAAAAAAAAAAAATGAGGCATGAACACCCTTCTTCTTCACTAAAGCTTCAGCTATGAGGAAGATGTCAGTGTTCCAACATGGCATTGGAGGTCCAGAGAATTCACACCGGCTCATTCTCTTCTGCTACTAACATTGTTAGAAATGTAGACTTAGATACAAAACTAGACTAAAGGGAAAGATAAATATCCATGTCACCAGTGGAGGGCATTCGCCGCCTCCTCCTCCTCCTCCTCCTCCTCCTCCTCCTCCTCTTCTCCTTCTCCTTCTCCTTCTCCTTGTACCTGGAACACCATCCTGGCATGTGGTCCTGCTCCTGGCCCTTTTTCATTTCACAGAACCTTCCCTCCTTCCACTCCTGAAATAAGAACATAAGAGATGCCAATGTTGGATCAGGCCAAAGGCCCATCCAGTCCAACGCTCTGTGTCACACAGTGGCCAGAAATACCAGGTGCCATCAGGAGGTCCACCAGTGGGGCCAGGACATTAGAAGCCCTCCCACTGTTGACCCCCCCAAGCACCAAGAAGACAGAGCATCACTTGCCCCAGAGTCCCTATTTATACCTTGTGACTAATAGCCACTGATGGACCTCTGCCCCATATGCTTATTTAATTCCCTTTTGAAGCCGTCCATGCTTGTAAATGTTGTCCATCATGGGATCCTCAATGCCGTAGATGGTCCTGGATCTCCTCCCACCCCAAGAACTCCTCCCCAATCAGTCCTTCCTTCTCCTTCTTCACACCACAGTGCATCAGGCAGAAGAAGACAGGGGTTGGAGCACCTTCCCTATGAAGAAAGGCTGAAGAGTCTGGGACCTCTCAGTTTACAAAAGAGAAGACTAAGGGGGACATGACAGAGATCTATAAAATTATGCATGGGATAGAGACAGTGGACGGAGAGAACTCAAGGGCATCCTACAAAGCCGATGGGCAGTAGATTCAGAACAAAAAAAAATTCTTTACTCATTGAGTGATTAAAATGTAGAATTCACTGCTAGAGGATGTAGTGATGGCCTCAAGCATAAACTGTTTTGAAAGTAAGATAGGTCTGTCAGTGGCTATTAGACATGGTGAATTAAGGGCATTTGACCTGGGAATCCCTCTGCCAGGAGGCAACATCAGGGAAGGCCTCAACCTCCATGCCCTGTTGTTGCCCCTCCAGAAAAACTGGTTGACCACTGTTTGAGACGGATGCTGGACAAGATGGACCACTCGTCTGATCCAGCAGGACTCTTCTTATGCTTTTACGTAATGGGATTAGACAGATTCATGTAGGACAGGTCTAGGGATGGGCACAAACTGGCTCACGACTAAAATTCATCATGCATTTTGGCTGGTTCACAGAGCAATGTTCATGGTGGGGAGACTGGGGCAAGGGATGCTCTGTATTCTTGGTGCTTGGAGGGGGGGCAACAGTGGGAAGTCTTCTAGTGTCATGGCCCCACTGCTGAACCTCCTGATGGCACCTGGTATTTTTGGCCACCGAGTGACAAAGCATGTTGGACACTGGCTTCTCTTGTGTTCTTATGACCTTAGTCCTGTTGGGTTTGCAGTGCCATAGTGTCAGTGGTTCTGCTGGGCACATTGCACTGGTTCTGAGAGGCTTGCAAAAATGCCCCCCCCCTTTCAGTTTCTACTGCAGAGATTCTCTGGGTCTTTGATCAGTGTTCCCTCTAAGCTGAGTCAGTGTGAGCTAGCTCACAGTGTTTTTTTTTTTGTCTTAGCTCAGGAAGGATGGCTCCAGATCAAACTAAGTTATGCAGTAGCCAAATCGCTGGCTCACAGCTTTAATGCCAGTTGCTCACAAAGTAGAATTTTTGCACACAAGACTCCACAGCTTAGAGGTTTCAATTGCCCTTGGGTTTTGGGGTTGTTGTGGGGTTTTTTTTTTTTTTTTTTTGCTATTTCTCCTTTCAATTGGAAACAATGGAGGTTGGGGGTACTTTTTGAGAGGGACCCATAACTCAAACCCCATAATTCCAATCCTCACCAAACTTGGAGAGCCAGTACAGGAAACTTAGTTGGAGATTGCCTGTGAGTTTGGTGTTTCAAGCTTGCATGGGATCCATTCTTTACACTCCTGAATTTTCTAGGCAACCTCTGTCATTCCCCCAGAAAACACTTTCCTGGGGGCACCTTCTTGGGGGAGGAATAACTCAGACCCTGTAAATACTTGGAGAGCCAAGTAGAGGAGAGTCAGCCAAGTATCCCCTGTGAATTTGGTGTCTCTGGCATGCTAGGGGGTGTTGTACCCTATTACGAACCTCACAAAATGAACTGGTTCATTCAGCATCTGAACGTTTGTGGCAGTTCATGTTTCGCAAACCAGGCACACCATGAACTGAACCACATTTTCCTGGTCCGTGCCCATCCCTAGATAGGTGTACTGGTGGCCACTATCCATTCTGACTAAAGGGACCCTATATGGTTTAGCCTATATGCTTCAGTTCAGGAAGGGAATATGTAATTTTCCTTGCTCCCTTTATTTCCCGTTAGATTCTCATGGGCACCCTGATTAGGCAGCATGTAAGAGCAGCACGGCTAGGATTGTGTCAGTGTGTTGCAACATTGGTTTATGCTTTTGCTTTCCATTCCATTTCATATTCTCACTCTGTCACTTGATAAGGGACTAAGCTTGGTGCCAGTTTGGTATAGTGGCTAAGTGCGCGGACTCTAATCTGGGAGAACCCACTCCTCCACTTACACCTGATGGATGACCTTGGGCAAGCCATAGTTCTCGCACAGATTAGAGTCCAAGCACTTAGCCCCACGCACTTAGCCACTACACCAAACTGGCTTTGAAGAAGAAGGAGGAAGAGGAGGAGGAGATTGGATTTATACCCTGCCCTTCATTACCCAAAGGAGTCTCTTAGTGGCTTACAAACTCCTTTCCCTTCCCCTCCCCACAACAGACACCCTGTGAGGTAGGCAGGGCTGAGAGAGTTCTGACAGAAACTGCTCTTTTTCAAGAACAGCTCTTACCAGAACTACGGCTTGCCCAAGGTCATCCAGCCAGGTGCAAGTGGAGGAGCGGGGAATCAAACACGGTTCTCCCAGATTAGAGTCCGCGCACTTCACCACTACACCAAACTGGGGGGTGGAGTCCTCAACTGCCCCAGAGTTGCTATGGGCCTGGGTAACAGAGTGACCTCTTCACAATGCTCTACTGCTCCTTCCATCAGACAGGCCAAGAGGCAGGAGGCATGGTGGTCTGGCTCTCTAAATAAGTGTCCTACCCATAAAGCCACGCAACAAATCTGGTGGCTCGTGACCCAGCAGCTGGCGCTCCACGACATACCTAATAAGCCCAGCCACTGGGTGGAAACCACGGGTCCGGGTCAATCAATCAAGTCATCCTCACCTTGGGCTGACGTGGTGTCACCAGACATAATTTCATTGTGTCGTTCATTAAAACATCTCTGTTCATTAAAACATCTCTTTTCTGATTGCCTTGGCTTACAGCACTGACTCATAACAGAGTAGTCTCGTAACAGAGTAACCACAACATGAAAACTAAGCTTGAGTCACAAGGTGGTAAGACATCACCAGAAATCTTGGTTTCCATTGCACACTTCAATACTAAAATTTTATGGAAGAGGAGATAAGAACATAAGTACACAAGAGAAGCCAATGTTGGATCAGGCCAATGGCCCATCCAGTCCAACACTCTGTGTCACACAGTGGCCAAAAATACCAGGTACCATCAGGAGGTCCAGCAGTGGGTCCAGGAAACTAGGAGCC